ACCCCCAAAACAAAACTAAAAATAAAAAAACAATTGGCCGGTTAGTTGTTTTTTTTAAATCTATACCATGTAACATAGAGGTGCCATACAACATGTAAACATATCTCAGGTTTTGTGAGATTAGCTTTGACATGTTGCTGGCACAATGCTGTTGTTAGGGAGGCAGCGGCTTCCTGCAGGCATGTCTGTTGAGCATATCTGTTCCTGCTCAGCCTGTATTTATGTTTTATGGCTGTTGCTGCTTGCCTTTAGAAAAAGAAAAAATAGAGGCGACAATGTTTCAGGTGGTGGGAGTTTACCAGGGTGATGGCAGGATGGATGTGTATTCAGATGGATGAGGAATGGGTGGATTGGTGGTCGAATGAGCAGACAGACTGATAGTGAAGGCGAGCGAGTAAGAAGAGCCCCGAATGAGATTTGAAAATGCTTTATTTTTTATAATAGAACAGGGTTCTCAGATCGACACCCACACAGCAGCGCATTTTCATTTGGTCCTGTTCCTATTGAAACATCTGGTAGAAATAGCAGTAGTTATATGTGTGTGCGCATGGTTTGGAACCGCTGTGTGTGTGTGTGTGTGTGTGTGTGTGTGTGTGTGTGTGTGTGTGTGTGTGTGTGTGTGGCAGTGGTTTATAAATGTATGTCTTTTTTCTACATGTTTCTCCAACCCCCTTACCAACAAAAGGAAAAATAGACATCTGAACAAAACCGTCAGCCACTCAAACCATTCAGGCTCTTACTGTTGATCAGGTAGATTATTATTATTAATAATAATAATAATAATAATAAGCCAAAGCCAAGCGATGCTGTGGTTGCTTTGGTTACTTTAGAAAGCAATAGTTAAAAAGTATTCAGGCAGTCTCCTTGTATGCGAGTGGAGCGCGCGCTCGGCGAGTCATTCCACTCAAAATCTCTGCAATAAACATTTTAATAACAATCCTCCAGCACGACAACCAAAAACAGTTCTTTTTGCCCAGAGAAGAAGTACAATTTTCGTCTCATACTGCAAAAGGTTTGCAGACGTTAACACACCTGAACCCAGCTCACTCCAGGTACCGCAGTTCCCCTCCTCATGAAACTCATTTGAATCCTCAGAAATTGCAGTTGCAACACCAGTTGCTGATCTTTCAGGGAAGTTTCTCATATATGCAGTAACCCAACACAACCCCTGAAACCTCCTCTGTCCCTGCTGGTCAGTCACAAACACTGCTGTTACACTGTCAACGCTGAAGGCGAACCGACTCGGTGTGGCACGAAGCCAACCAGCAGACTTCTTTTTTTCCTCTTCGTTTTTTTGACTCCGCCAAGCTCTGCCTCTTTGCCACGACTCCCGTAGTGACCTCTTTAACTTTGTTTCAGGTACCCAATCATAGCCAGCCAGCCTCACGAGCACCTCCTTCTGAGGCAAAGCAATCTGTTTAACCCTTAACGACAACCGTTCGCTACCTTTCAGTGTGGCCTGATGCGGATATAGGAGGTCTGCCCTCCCAATTACATCATCTTTTCATATTCGGTCTCCTGTTCACAGTCAGCTTAAAAAGGCCACTGAGTTTATATTTTACTATAGATGATAACATAAATCAATCAGCAAGGTTTTTTTTTTTTTTTCCGAGGGTCTAGTGTAGTTATCATTTCCCAAGTCTTTCTTAAATCCCATTGAAATGTACCACAATGTGCAATACTTTGATTTTGTTTTCCCCCTCTTTACTGTGCCAAGTGTATGTAGCAAAAGTTCGACTCCAGTGTCTGATCCTCGTTAAAGGCTCGTGTATTTCTTTTAAATATCTGTTGACGTGTGTGTCACATCTGAGTCAGGATGTTTGTGAGGAGAAACAGCAAAGCGTTTTTCCTGTTTTTCCTCTCTTTCCTCTCCTTCCCTTTCGTCCTCGCGGCCTTCCTCAGTTGTGAGTCTGCACCGTGTGTCGTCGTGCGTGTAGGATGTATGCTTATGTACACCTGGTGTTCAAATGTGTGTGAGTGTTTGTGTGTGTGTGTGTGGGGGGGGGGGAGTGTTTTCTCCTCTAATAGTCTGTGAGATCATAAACCCTGACCGTCGACGGTTCACGGTGAGACCCACAGGAAAAAGAAACCTCATCGCTAGTGGGGACCACTTTTTTTTTTTGTAGAAAAAAAAGAGAAAAAGAAAGAAAAAGGAAAAAAAAAAGATTCTAAACCAACCGAAAGAGATGCACATGTATGTAGATGTAAAAAGACTTGATAATGTTTCAGCACTTTCTAATCCTGGGACGGGGCTCGGTCTAACCCCTCTCTTTCAGGCCGACGCCTGTCCCAGGGGTAACATTCATTCAAAACAGACAGAGAGAATGAGAAAACAAACAAACAAAAACTAAACGGGGTGACTATTGATGAATAAAAAGAGAGAGGGGGAGAGATGGCTCAAGTTTGCACATCACCTTGCCGTAACCTTGTGTTTTATCTGTCTGTGCTCCATCTCGCTTGGCGCCCGGCGCGTTCTTGGGTCCAACGGGCCGAGGTGTTAGGTGATTCCTTGGTTCTTTTCTACTAGGAAAACCTCTTTCTCATGGAAAGCGTCCCCTCTTTCGTTGCGTTCATCTTTTCCAGCGCACACCGCCAACCTGCCTGAACGGATAAATTCGGTTTCTTGATGTTCACGGCTTGGTTCGGTTGTGCGGTGCGGAAAGAGCGCGTGCAAACCTTTGCTTTGTTTGCATTATCTTTGGTGCAGGAGCTTTTTGTTGTTGTTGTTTTGTTTTTGGTCTCCTTGTAGCACTCAGTATAATGTCAGGGGACTTAAAACTATGTAGAGAATGTGTCATTGTTGAGTTTTTCAAGACAAGCGTCCTCACTGGAGGAACAGTGCTAATGTCATTTTTTTTTTTTTTAATTGGCTTCTTGCACAACTTGACAAATAAAATGAATGTTGGTGAGTGAGCTTTGACTTTTTTTGATCAGAAAAAAGGCATGTGTGCTCTTTGTTTCTTAATGTTTGTACTTTCATTTTGCGTAAACAAAAATGTGTTTTTTGGCACTTTTGTTGTGTTTTAAAAGTGAACAGAATTCGATCAGGATTCCACTTTTTTCATGAATTTATTTTTCTTTTCTTTTTTTTTTGTATGATGTCTTGTCGATGTCCATAGCGCTGGATAACCAACTCAGGCAGAAAGAAGAAAAAAAAAAGTGTAGAGGCCCACTTAACAGTTAGTTTCACACCAGTCAATTTGCATAGTGGGCTTTTTGATATGGGTTATAAGATATGTAAATTTATTACCTATAATTTGATATTTGAATTGATTTGATTAACAAATGTTCTTATTGGAAATTAACTATAAATTATTATGATATTATGTGTATTATGCTGGAGATGGCTTGGATTACTCTTTAGTGTACTGATCATCTCTGGGCGGCCTCTCTGTGGAAGGCGATAAAAACACTTCAGGACAGGCTGTGTGGTTCTTGACCTCTGACCCTGCCCACTGCCAGGGAGAGGGTGGAGTTGATCTGTCAGCTGTGTCCTTCCTGTGATCTGAACACTCAGCCCTGAGGCTAGCAACCTGTCTGTCAAGATGTTTCTCAGTTAACCTGCGTCACCACGTACTAAAGTGAGACTTACTGGCCTGTGAGATGGTGGCGGAGAACTGGACATCAGCGCAGACCTGCATGGACAGTCTGGCCTACAGGGGGGGCCACAGCAGTTCCCAGCCAACTTGTTTGTACTATATTGTACTCACCAAGTCCCTGTGTCTCACCACCCCATTTCCTCTATAGCAATGGAGAAACCCTGTTGGTGTATGTATTTGACATCTGTACAAACGCACCTCTTTGGAAAAACAAAATGAAACCTTGACATATCTGGAACAAATGGGCAATTTGTGTTTTTCTTTGAGTAGCAATGCATACGTGAACAAAAGATCTGGATATCTGTACAGAACGCAGCTACTGTGATTTCACCCAGTGCTGAAATTGGTACCTTTTATAATATCTCCCTCTAGTGTTTAGTGGGCTACATAACACCTGCCCTACAGTTTTGAGCCTTTCTGAAGCTTTGGAGTTATGGAAGTGCTTGCTCTGTCTAAAAGCCACACTGCAACCAAAAAGCTGGTATAGAAGAATACAAAATGAAACATGGTACTCAAACAGATTAATATTTGTAGCCCCTGAAGGTTATTGATTTTTGCCTCCTTGCACAGAGCTCACTGTGTGGGCTTAGCTAACTATTACAGTTTGGTCCTATTTGGACACTGACATTGTGTCTCTGTACAATCACAGTGGATTATAAATTGAATAAAAAAGATGTGATTTAATTGCAAACGTTCGGCTTTAACTCAAAGGGCTTCACAAAGGTTTTGCATTAACTGTTTAGGAATTACAGCCATATTTAAAACATAGTCAAATCATAGTCCCAAGGCTTGAACGTAATTGGACGACTGGCAGGGAAGCATTTTTTGAACCTGTTGAGGCCTGTTCCCCCATTATTTCATGACAAATTAAGCAGATAAAACTCTGGAGTTGATTCAATCTGCTGACCTTGTATTTGGTAGCTGTTCACTCTGAATAGGAAGTGCAAAGACATGTGAGGGAGTCTATCTGGGAAAAATAATAAATGAACCTGTCAGAGGCTTCTTGATTGATTTAAAATCCACTGTGGTGGTGTACACAAGCAAAATTATAAACACTTAAGGACCTAAATATACATTAGAAACAAGTTTTCAAGGACCCAACATGTGACCAGCAGCACAAAAGAAACGACTGTTTCATTCCACCTTCAGTTGTAGTACTCTCCTCCTGATCTTATAGCAGCTACTCCATGCAGCTTTGTTTTCACAGGAAGTGGCAACACCAGCAACAAAGAAATATTAGAAATATGTGAGCAGTAAGTGATGAAAGAAGTTTCGTTGTAATGCAACATGAATCTAAATGGTCTCAACTCCAAGCCAGACATCTTGGTAGTTGGTTTACCACTTCTTCTTTTTTTTTGTTGAAACTTTTAAATCAGAAAAAGAAACCGAAATCTCAAAAGCTTCTAGTTACAGTTTATTGTCCAGAAAGAGGAATTATGTTAATCATTCACTGATTAATGACTTCCATTTTCTGTCTTGACTGCAATAAACAATGTAATACTGTTAGTTATCACAGTATGCATTACATAGTGTAGGTTTTCATTTCCTGCGTTTAATGGCATCGTTACGTTACTTTACAATGCAGTAAAAGGCACAAATCTCTAGACTTGCATGATTTAAAATGAGGGACACATTTTTAAGTAAATATACCAAATACTTGAAATGCACAAACTGTGAAGACTTCATTCTCATTATGAAAGCGTCCCAACTCAGTTCAAACTGAAAGACCAACACCACTGAGGAAACCAGCACAAGGTTCTCCATGCAGTTTATTGCAACACAATTTCTGCCTTGACAATTAAAGGCCGGAGTCTCTTAATCTCGCATATCAACTTGCACATTCATTTTAGGATACACTTCAGCAAAATCATTGATCTTCCCACTAATACCAACACGTTCCTGCTGAGTGTGTTTTACAAATCTCATATTCTTGCTTGCTCTTGATATGTTGTTAATGTTGAAATATCCTCCAGTAACAACTTTATATACAAGTTTCTGAAAAATCTCTACTGTAGTAGTTTCACTGCCGTTTCCCAAAACTGAAAGGTAGCAGGTGAAGCGTATTTGCACATTCCCATTCAAAAACAATGTCTGCATAAATTACAACAGTACTTTATTGGTTTCTGCAAGCATAGAAACACACTCACTGTGAGATTAAAGAGAGTAGAGTGTTGTTATCCATCTGGGTAATTCAAGTCAAATTTTTGAGTTGGTTTAATTGCAGCCCGAAGGAGTTGAAAGCTTTCGGACAGCAGATATCCTGAGAGAAACAGGTGCGTGGTGAAGTGAGGTGTAGGTCTGTATGTGGTCCTGCTGCTACTGGGAGAAAGTAGTACCACCCCCTTAAGTGAACATATAGCTAGACTGCTGTGTGACACGGATAAAGGTGGTTCTGCGGCTCAGCTCTTTGAGTTTGGCGGCACCCACATAGGTGCAGGTGGAGCGCAGGCCCCCCAGCACATCCCGGATGGTATTTTCCACATCTCCTTTGTAGGGAACCTCGACCGTCCTCCCCTCTGATGCCCTGGGAGCCAAGGAAAGAGGTGAGAAGGTGGACTTTAGAAACCTTTCTTTGGTAAAATATCTTCTCATCTATTCTAGTACAAGACCAGAGCATGAAAGTTTAAAATGGGCTCATCTTTTTTTTATAAAGGCAACTTTTGGAGTTCTAGAATTCTTTTGTCTGTGTTATGAATCATCAAAGTATGAAATGGATTCAATAAGAAAAAAAATGTTGCAAACACCTGAGTGATTAAAGTGTGTCTATAATAATACACTGTTACTGTAAGCAATCAAAAAAAAAAAGGAATTCCCATAGCAACACAGATGAAGCCAAAATGAATGACTCACAGGTGTTGCTGCGAGTCTCAGGGTATCACTATCTCACCTATACTCGGCAACTCCCCCAGTGTATTTCTTCATGGCTGTGTCGGAGCTCATGCCGTAAAATAGTTTGTACTTCTTGCCATTTTTCTCAATGACCTCCCCGGAGCACTGGTCGTGGCCTGCGAGCATTCCTCCCATCATTACAAAGTCAGCACCGGCACCTGAGGAGCAGAGGCACAGCCAGAGTAGGCACAGAGGTAAGATGTATAGAACAACACAGCAAGTTTGAAGAGACAAACACAGCGCACTGTTGACCACAGCATTCCCGTAGCCATGCAGTGTGAAGAATGGGGAAGCACACGAAGCTGAAGTCAGGGAATTTGGACAAGGGCATGAAGTCATGGAGATTATATCGTAAAAGACTAAAAAAAACAGTATAATCACAATTGTATGTGACACCATTATGTAAATGTTTTACCTCAAGATATGTTTTTTGTAGATTACAGCAGGTAAGCTGTATATACATACAAAAGTAATCTGGGAAATAGATTTGCCACTACTTCACTGTAATTTAACTGGGGCATTTCTTACAGCGTGGGGTTGGTTACTCACCAAAGGCCTTAGCTACATCTCCAGGGCAACTGCAGCCACCATCCTTAACAGAAGTTAAACACATGTCAGTTTACTGGTTCACATTAGGTCAGAGAAGCAGGTTTAATGTTTAATTTTAGGACTAAACTGCTCCCCCTATTGGCTGGAAACCTTCAGTAACATGCATGAACAAATCTAGTGATGCATAATCGCACATGTTTTTTGGTTTTTGCACATGTTTACAGTGTGTTACACCTGCTGAACTGACGAGAAAAAACCTGGTCTTTCAAGCAATAAACGCTCTTCTGTTGCTCACTGTTTGCCACCCTGTCCTCCAAGTACAACACAATTTAAAATGGAAATCTCTTTGATGCATTTTCAGTATCTACATGAAAACCACATCATTGCACTCTGCTTTGTATCATTTTCATTTCAGCCTCTTGCATATTTGCAGCATATTCTGCAGACAGCTTTCCTACTGTTGCAGAAATTGCCAATATTTACTTTAATTACTGTTTGACTTCATTATTTTTATTTAAAAAAAATTATATTGTGGACTTACAGAGATAATGTGACCTTTGAGTCCATGAGCGGAGTCTGCACACTCTATAACAGCACTGAGCTGTGGGTAACCCACTCCTGTCTTGATCCTTGTTGTGCATACAGAACCTGCAACAGTCAGAGCACACATTAGAGAACCACATCTTTATCTCTCTCTCTGTCTGTGCTGATTGCTGCTGTTGTAACTACAGGAACCTGCCGTCTTTTATAATCTGTTCAAGTCAGGTGACTACTCAGGTGCATGATTGGCTTTTAGTCCAATCATGCACCTGACTTTTTAAGGAGTGTTTTTGTTTGTTACATCATGTGACACTGACCTGTGAACCATAAAAGCACAATAAAGGCACCCATGTCAAGTGTTGTGTCTGCACATAAAATTGTATCTTAAGGCACATTTTTACTAGCAGGCTGTCACAAAAAAGGCACCATTTTTGGTAACAACACATTTTGACAAGCATAAAATAGGAGTTTTGCACCATCAAGGTGATTCGCAAGGAGTTAATAGCTAAAAATTTGCCAAATGTTGGCATGGTGTGCAGTGCAAAAAACAAACAAGCACAACAGTAGTGCCATTTTTACACACAGCGTCTTGGTTTGGGGCTGTGTTTCAGCCACTGCCGTTGGGAATCTCCAAAATTGATGGAATTTTCTTTAGTATTCAGCTGCTTAGTAATGATTGTGATTCATAGGCGCACCCGTTAGAAAACAAGCAGCTTCATCTTATTATTTTTGCCATTTTTATATTCGCTCTATGAAACTCAGTGCTATCTGTGTTAGGAAAAAAAAAACAGCTTCTTTCATTTTTATGTCGTGTTGTTGTTGGACTGAGTTTGCAAGTAAACCCAGGAAGGACAGATAAGTCTGAGGCTGGGAATGGGAATCCTGATTAAACAAACAAACCGTGCAATACCATCTGGAAAGTGTCCGACTGGCGACGGCTTAATTTGTCAGCATGACAATGATCCCAAACATTAGTCTGCTGTAATCGTACCAGTAAAACCACATTTTTCATGTCTCCACAGCAACGTTAGAGTGGCTACATTAGTCATGCAATGAGTCAGTAACTTAATGGCGTGTAACATGACCGCTATACTTGGTTTAAAATGCTGTACGTCTCTGTCTTATGTCTCATCTGTGTTTGCATGCCTCACTGCTGGTCTCTGTGTTTGAGGACCGTGCAGCTTTGTGTTAAGAGACCTTTGTACCCACTCACCTGGCCCGATGCCCACTTTGATGATGTCAGCCCCAGACAGGATGAGTTCCTCCACCATCTCTCCTGTTACCACGTTGCCAGCCTGCAAAACCAGCACACAGTCTTAAATATCCCATAATCCACCAGGAGACAAACTGCCAGCCAACGTGAGGCACTGTCTTTCCTACCATGATGGTGTGTTTGGGGAACTTTTCTCTGACTTTCTTGACAAACTCCACAAAGTACTCAGAGTAGCCATTGGCCACGTCCAGGCAAATGTACTTGAGGGCAGGGACGGCTTCCAGGATGGCACACAGCTTCTCCAGATCTGCACTGCCGCTCCCTGAGCTAGCAGCTACGTGCTATGGGAATGAAAATGTGTTTTATTTAGATTTTCTAGTTTCTTATGAGAGACAACATACATGTAAAAAGTCTTAAGAGCTTAAAAGAAGGCAACTGGACTTCTCTAAGTTCCAGTTCCTTCTTTTCCAGCTCTTAAGGCGATGACCTGGATGACTGAGAATCCACACACACAGACTACGTTAAAGCAAAGACTGGAAGTCTTACCTCTAAGCACTCTGGGTGACTAGCAGCAAAGTTTTTCCAGTCTTCTACAGAGTAGTGTTTATGAATGGCTGTGAAGAGGGTGTGCTAAAGAAAGAAGCAGTCAGACAGAAAGGAAGACAGGAAGAAAATGAGAGATTCAGAAATACCTTAGATACTCTGGGCCACTGACATTCTCTCTATCATCCATCATTGTCCTTCAACTTGAACAGAAGTAACCTGCTGATGAATCCACAACCATACAAAATAAAACAAATGTATTTTTAATTTATTTATTTTTTTATAACTATTGTCTTCACTCACTTTACTGAGAACTTGTGCCATCTCAAATGTTCCTGTGGTGTCCATGTTGGCTGCAATGATGGGGATACCTGTGTAGGTCTGCTTAGAGTTGCGGAATGTAAAGGTCCTCTGAAGATCCACCTGAGGACGGAAGGAATTTTTTAAAATGTATTAGTATTTTTTTATCCTTTTTCTTGGAAATATGAGAAGGCTAATACTCGTCTCCTGAGTGTGCATGGGTGCACTGAATCATTTAGATCAGTGGTCCCCAACCCCCGGGCCTCGGACCGGTCCGTGAGTCGTTTGGTACCGGGCCGCGAGAGTTGAGGCTCAGGTGTGAAATGTACGGTTTTCAGGGTTTTTATCAGTTTCAGCGTTATTTTTGTTTATCGTTTTTATCGTTAACTCGCTTTTCCTGGGTCTTTCACGTGTGTTATGAATAATTTTTTTTTCGGTACTGGTACTAGTTTTATTTTGGTTGTATTTATCCGCGACACCTTAAAGGCCGGTCCGTGAAAATATTGTCGGGCATAAACCGGTCCGTGGCGCAAAAAAGGTTGGGGACCGCTGTTTTAGATCTAATGGACAGCTTCTAATGGATATGCCTGTGCTGAGCTGAGCTCAATGTGACACACAAGCTGCACCATTTTCAGGAAAGTGTTTGAGTCACTTGCGGAAATTATTTCTTTCAAATTAAATCATTAAAATAAACCTTTTTTCCAGTTAACGATCTAAACGCTGAACTTTGTTACTACTCAAGAATCTTCTCCCAGAACCATCGTTCAACAGTCTTGGTGGCTTTACTACTGTAGCATTACTTGGTCTGGTATAGCTTACTAATGTAAGCAATCTAAATGTGTTTACTGAGGCTAATATTATTGGCTGATAATAGTTATTTGCCAATCTTTCAGTATCTGCATTTAACGGCCAATAATAAAAATTTTAAAAACTAAAGAAGAGACAGCAGAAACACCCTTCACCATGGTGTGAGTGATATTGCATAGTTTGTCCACCAGAGGGCACTCTGACACGCTGCCAGTGGAAAAGGGCTATAAATGCCAACAACAACAACAAAAAAATTAGGCTCAACAAATGCCAAAATATCAGAATATTGGGTGTTTTAATCACCAACTATCAGTATTAATATGTAGAAAATGTAGAAATGTGTCTAACTGGTAAATTTTCAACCTAGAAAAAAAGAAGGTAACGATGGTCGGCATAGTTGTCAAAAAGTGGGACATAACGGTGAGTTGCCTTGCCAACAGTTAAAAACAAGTTTTCTAAATGGCTCCCTCTTAGTGCTGAATGCTTTTGTTGACTAGAACCAAGACATTTATTATGCAAAGCTACTTAAGCTACAGACTTACCGTACGCAATGCACCATAACTTTTAATGTGGGCATATAATGAGGTCATGCCTCATAATAGTGAGAGGAAGGAAAGAGGTGGAAGACATGGACGAGGGAGATATTCTATAGTCTATATTGATTCGCTCCAGCACATCAGCAGATGCTGCACACTGACTCAGGACTTTCAGTTTACTTCCTTTCTATTCACCATTAATAATGAGAAAGTAATGATGCTGGTGTAGCTCACCAGGTTGAGCAGAAGACCCATGTGCAGCAAGGCTATTGCAGGGCCATTCGCTGTGTGTCTTCCCCCTGCTGTCTTTCTCTTCCTGTCTACTCTCAGTCTGTCCTGTCATAATAAAGACTAACCCCCGCCACCAACACCATCAAGCTGAAAATAAACCACATCACTGCAAAATATGTACTTAAAATAAATCATCCAGTGGTCTCAGTCGCGGCCCGCTGCCCACATTACGATCTGAAATATCAAAATAACCAAACCGCATTCATCAGGTGCCACACATGTGTCTGAGACCTGAATCGATGTGATTAAAGCTGCTGTTATACTGATATCTCTGTGGCATGTGGAATGTGCTCTGGTTGGCTGCAACACGCTCCGTCCTATTTTTAAACAACTTTTCTGAGAAGTCTCCTGTGTCTCATGTTGCTTGCTCCCTCAGAGGGCTCAAACTCTTTGCTTTAGATCTAGTGCCACCACAAGTATGGTGATGTTGGACACAATGTGGCCTGCTTAGTCTGCTTTAGATAATAATGACAGGTAACTAGATCAAGGCCAAACTGATCAAAATGTTCTTTTATGCCTGTGTCCAGCCTGTTTCCTGTCACCTTTAAGAAGGTCACTCCGCTGTTACACTATTTCAGCCCAGCACAGAGGCAGTGTACACCTGATAGCTCAACATTAAACAAGACAAGGACGCATTTTACTCCTTCAACGAGGTATCTTTGTTGATTTAGGAGTAAATGTAAAGTATTTTTCGCATTTGATCAGAACTAGACAGCTCCAGGACGCCACCCTCATCAATCTGCCCTCATGTACAAACAGTTAACACGATATTGCGGCACAATGCGCAGGAGAATACACCTGTCTAACCCAAAGAGCTGTTCTGATGGTTGATTACACTATACATGTAATGCGTGAGTTATGCGTAATGAGCAGACGTAATTACCTCTGAGCGGCTCTTCAGGCTGCTCCTCTTGGGTCTGAAAAGGACATCTTTAAAGTCCAGCTTGAGGTCTGCGTCCACTCGAGGCATCTTGAATGCCCCCAGAAATGATGACCAGGACGATGATGGTGAGTATGCAGACGTAGCTCCCCCGAGGAAGACTGCAGCAGCTGTGGTGGTTGCTGGTCCCAAGCCCCAACCACCAAACCCGAGTCTCAAGGAGGCCAGCGTTTTTATAGCAAAGCGGGACCCAGCCCAGTCCTGGCCCCCATGTCTTTATTTGGGCCTGGACTCTCTCTCCCCCCTCTTTCTGTCTTTTTTCTCGCTCCAGCCTCGCGTGCCTCCCCCCTTCGCCGCTCTTCAGCTGAATGGCAGGAGCAGCAGTGGCTGAGCTGGCAAGCAGGTCCGGGCTGTCCCATCTGCAGACGCACACACACACACACACACACACACACACACACACACACACACACACACACACGGCAGCACTGCAGTGGCTCGCGTGCTGCAGTGCTAAAGAGCACACCTGGTGTCCAGCTGGGGCATTGCTCCCTTTGCTCTCGATGGGCAAGACAGTGTGAGGACAAGCTAACAAACAAAAGCTAAAACTAAAAACTAAATCAGTCACGTAGATTCATATGCACACATGTGCGGTAGTGTGCAAAAGTCTTGAGCCACCTCTTATTTCTTTATATTTTGCTTTCAAGGAGCCAGACTTTCTTGTTGTCAAGTTGTCTTCAGCAATAGCTACCAAGGCCTTTCTGAAGGTGTTTCAAGTGTTTCTGTCAACATTTGGCCAGAGCTTGTACGTGAACATTTTCAGAGGAATATCTTTTTTTTGTTAACCCTATATGAATTATTTAAGCCTGTGTTGTGACTAGCCAACAACAAGAACAACAACAACTCGACAGGTTAGCAAAGAACCAGTTTTAAATCTTTCTATCTTTAGACACTTTGGTACTTGCAGCCTGTCACAAAACACATCGTTTATTCTTTAATTGAATCTAGAAAAGATGCTAAAGCTAACACAATCAGACAGGCATTACATGGAGTTGTAGCAACAACAAGGGGATTCTTAGAGAGCTATTAGCTGAAAATTCAGCATGGTTTGAATTGTGTCCTTACAAATTTGAGCAAACTGGATAAGAAAATAAGGGAATAAGTGGACCCACCCCCCCTCAAAAAAAAAGAAAGAAAAAAAAGAAAAAGGAAGGCAATTAGAGTACATGAGAAGACTAGGAAAATGTTACAAAGATCTTACAACCAAGAGAGAGGGGCAAGAGACACAAAACATCAAGGAGCTGACAGACTAGCAACAAACAAAGGAAAACACGGTGCTTAAATACAGAGGCAGTAATGAGGGAGTGAGAAACAGGAGGGAAACACAGCTAGGACTAATTAGACATAAAGAGACAAAGGAAGCAAAGCAGAATGCACCGCACACAGGACAGGGACTATCAAAATAAAACAGGAGACAAGAGACATTAACAAACATGTGGACTTGACACTGAGACATAGAGACATAACTGACTGGGGAGACAGAGGGAACATGAAGACGAGTGATTAGACGAGGAACACGGGGAAGGCAAAGTAACAGAAAATTAAATCCTGGGAACTAAGAATAAACACAAGCAGAAAACCAAGAATGACAATAATCCAAGAATATAAATTAACCAATAAACACAAAACCCTGAGTCACAGACCCAGTACCAACGTTTCTGTGTTTGACTAGAAATTTCTAATTACACCTAAACCATTTTGTCTCATAAAAATAAATCATCTTTCATAAGCAACATGCTAAAAATGTATTATAATGATTTCTTACCCTGCAACCTTACGCTCTGAATCAATTACATTTATTATATTTATGTTATTAATGATATTTATTATTATTAGTCAGTGTATTCATACTAAACCCAGTAGCATCTTTTAAATAGCAGCTGAGGAAATAAAGAGCCCCGTTACAGTTTCCGGTCAAACCAGCAGATGTCAGCAGAGTTTCAGAAAACAGATACTATATGAACGTCAGAAGAGGAGCGTCAACACAACACTTAAGTTTTTCCTGGGAACAGGATGTCCCTTCCTGATGTTCACATGCAGAGGCATTCTTCTATCATCTCTCAGCTTTTATTTATTTTGTGATAATACCAGTGCAAAATATATAATTGAATTGTAATTGTTTTTAGTGATGCATTAGTAAAAATATCTCTTCACATCGCAGCTGATAAAGGTGAGGTTAATTTTAACTACGGTATAACTCTATTAAAAAAAAAAAAAGATTAGGTACACCCGATCAACTGAGTGTTAATGCAAATTTCTAATCAGCCAATCACATGGCAGCAACTCAGTGCATTTAGGTCAAATTGAGCATTGAAATGGGTGAGAAAGTGACTTTGAATGTGACGCGGTTGGTGGTGCCAGATAGGCTGGTCTGAGTATTTTACAGAGTGGTCTGAAAAAGAGAAAATATCCATTGAGTGATTTAAATGCCTTGTTGACCTCAGAGGTCAGAGCAGAATTCAGACTGCTTCTAACTGAGAGGAACAACTGCAGAAGAGCATCTTTGAATGCAGAGCAGATGGGCATCCGCAGCACAAGACCACATCGGGGGTCACTCGTGTCAGCTAAGAGCAGAAATGTGAGCCAGCAGTTTGTACATGCTCACCAAAATTGGAGAAATGTTGCTTGCTTTGATGAGCCTCGATTTCAGTTCATGTAGAGGGTAGGGTCAGAATTTGATGTAAACAACATGAAAGCACGGATTCATCCTTCCTTGTGTCAGGCTGCTGGTGATGCAGAGGTGTGGGGAATATTTTCTTTGGGCCCCTTAGTACCAACTGAGCATTGTTTAAACAAAGTCTACCGGAGTATTGTTGCTGACCACGTCCATCCCATCACAGTGTACCCATCATCATACAGCTGCTTCCAGCATAATAAGACACCATGTCGCAGAGTTCAAATCATCTCAAACTGGTTCCTGGAACACGGCAACTGTACTCAAATGACCTCCACAGTCAACACATCTCAACAACAGAGCACATTTTAGTGTAATGGGAGATTCATATCATGCATGTTCAGCCAGCAACTGTGTGATGCTATCATGGCAATATGGCTCAAAATCTCCAGGGATGTTTCCAGCACCTTGTTAAATCTATGTTACAAAGGAGGTCTAACCAGGTACTAGCAAGGTGTATCTAATAAAGTTTTCTAATATACATACATAAGGTATACTCCAGTGAGCGTACATTATGTATGAAAACTATATTGTATGTAAGATTTTAAGTATTTTGTGCAGATGATTTGAGTCTGGAAAATAGTTAAATAGAAGTAATAATAAGAATATAATTAAAAAGTAATAATAAGTAATAAGCTTCTATTAATAATAGAAGTAAGAGTAGCTGTTACAACAATTTCATGCAATAAGATTAGCAAAAATACTACCGACAGAAACAGGCATATGGAACAAAAACATTTGAACTACTGAAACAAATGCTTCAGTACTTTAGTGCTTAGTTGCTTGAGAGTTAAAATCATATAACATATAATAGTATGTTAGAGTATTATATGTTATTAATGTTATATCAGTGTTATTAATAGTATGTATGCAGCATGTTGTTGCTGCAGGTCGTGGAGCTTAGAAAGAGACTGAGTCATGCGATACCATCGTTTTTAAATCTAGAGCACAGGTTTGTGTAGGATCAAGGAGTCAGACCTTTTTCACAGATCCAGTCTCATATTACTCAGCCTAATGCAGAGATAAAGTCTCATCAGCACTGTTAGCTCCAGAGTAACGTTAATGCATGAAACAGATTTTGGAGGGCTGTGAAGAGATGCTTTTTTGAAAGATATTATAATGGATCTCTAAATAATAAAATGTTACATTGGTGTAAAGAGCATGTTTGCAAATATGTTTAGAAATGTCACTGTTTAAGGTTAAAGTTTAAATATTTGTATATTGTTTTTATAAATGTATGTGGAGTCTGTTTATTTTCTCAGATTCACTTGATTAATATTTCCTTAGGAGAAAATATTATTTAAAGGGGAAACAAATATTCTATTTACCCTGGGTCTGATATACTGATGAACAACTGAGCATCAGCATGGAGCACTCAGGTGTGTGTTAGCAGAATGCTCCACCTCTCAGGGGTGGATTTCCTAGCAAATTCATCCAGACATCTAACTGTAAAGGCCTTTGATGAACTGAAGCAACATTGTGGAGTGTAGAAGAGTGGATCAAAATTCCTCCACAATAATGTGACAGACCGATCATGTGATAAAGACCACTCCCTCGCTGAAACAGATCAAGTCCAGTGGACTTGTTCCCCCCTTCTTACTACTTTCAGTATTTCTGAAAGCAGTAAGAAGGGGGAGTCACCTTCATTAGACAGCAAAGTAAAAAGAAAGAAAAGCAGGGAAGGGAAGTCTGGTGAACCATGTGAAGGAAAAGACAAATGACTGAGTCAGTCAGTGTCTTTGGTCAGTTTTTTGTTTGTTTGTTTGCATTAAACTTTTAAATGTCGCAACATGAATACATGTTAAACAATTCAGTGTCTGACAGAGACAGGAGAGAGGAATCACACAGACCTCCTGAGTCAGCGGAGAGAGGAATAGCCCAGCGGATGGAGCCCCAGAATATTCAGGAAAGAGAGACACAGCAGGTATCCCTGAAGATAGAACTGCAGATCAAAACAATTCAGAATGACCTGATTGTGCTTGAGAACAAGCAAGAGTTTCTCCTTGAGCAGAACAGCAACATTGTTGCTCTGCTGTCCAAGTTTAAAAGTGAGAGAAAAAGAAAAAGACAAAGAACACAAATCTCAAGAAATGTTTGGAAAATCTTCTGTGCCAAATGGAAGAAATGCAGCATTTAATAATGAAATGAAGTAAAAGTAGAAGAAATCCTACTGACCCTGAGTGACTTGAGACTCCTGTCTCTGAACCACCTTCTGACGAGGTTCAGGACGTGGTTCAGCTGGGCCTTCTCAAAGATGTTCAACTGAAGTGAATTTCCCGGCTGTTCTCTGTGGGATTATGTTTATGATCTACTTGAACCCTACTACAATTTCAGACGTGGACCTGTTATCTTTCAAAGAACAGGAATAATGTTGCCAAGAAAATGACTTCAGACTAGCCAGAGCCTCACATGAACATTTTGACTGTGTTGATATGAATAAAGGGACAGAAATGTCTCAGTCTAGAGAACTAGTCCAAATAAGTCTGGTGTGGCTGAGACAGCCAGCCCAAGTTTGTTTCCTTCTGTTTCTGGTCCTGTGGAGTAGGCCTGCTATAACTCATTTTTCAGTGAGTGACTTGGGATCAAGTAATGGACCTATAGATGCTGTTTCCATGGACATTTGTGCTACGGATGTTTTTTGTGTGGCTGAACCACA